ATATATATATATATATATATATATATATATATATATATATATATATATATATATATATATATATATATATATATATATATATATATATATATATATATATATATATATATATATATATATATATATATATATATATATATATATATATATATATATATATATATATATATATACACATATATACACACACACTAACTATTCACTTAATAGGGTAACCAACTTACTTAAATGAGTAAATCCCATCACATTCATTGTAGAAGATCCTATATTATCTATTCTTAAACGTTTCTAACACGCTTAATTTTCTCTCATTATTCCAGGATCTCCAGAATGGGGTTTCCCCCATTGATTAAGGTCTTCCAAAGAGTAGTTTGGGTTGTAAACATGCAAAACGTGCGTGTTGTAAAGCGTAATAAAATAAATGTATGTACATATAAATTAAAACTTGCAAATCTTTCATATGAAAGAGATTTTGAGGATTTTTTCCGTAATATCTTGTGATTTAATGAAGTCAGTAGGGATCGTTAGTTAAATTATTTGTCCAAATGGAGAAACTATTACACATTTAATGTGATTACTTAATATTTAGACTTCATTTGAGGTAACATACCTACTTGAATGAATGAGTAAATCCCATCCCATTGTAGAAGATCCCATATTAGCTATTCTTAAACGCTTCTAACACACTGGGTTTTCTCTCTTGTTCCAGGATCTCCAGAATGGCGCTTTCCCATGGATAAAGTGACTCCAGCAGCCGTGACCTGTCCCACGTCATGTCACTGTAGTGTCAAAGTGCTTACAGTGCAGGTAGTTCAATATAATCTACTGCAGTGGAGGCACTTCAAGCTTTACCGTGACGCAAAAACTCGAGCGCAACCATGATCTACTGCTTATGCTAAGGTGCATTTAGTGCAGATAGTGAAATAGACTAGCACCTACTGCCCTAAGTGCCCCTTCTGGCATAAGGGGCTGGCAAAACCCTCCCCGCTGCTGCTCTCCCATTGGCTGTCCTTTTACTCTTTAACTTCATGCAGTTCTCTGCTAGTTTTGCATAGTTGCACTACAAGAAATATTGAGTTGTGCAAATCTATGCAAAACTGATGGTGGCCTGCTTTTTTCCTGCGCTTCTGGCTTTGAGCATTTCTGCTTTCATTCAGGTGTAAAACTGTTGATCTCGCTCTGATTCCAGCAGTATTAAAGTGCTTATAGTGCAGGTAGTTTGTGAAAATCCTGATCTACTGCAATGTGAGCACTTCAAGTACTTCTAGATGCTAGCGTCGCTGAGATTGTCGGACGTATTCGTGCTTTGTGCACACTGTCCTGGTTAGTTTTGCTGGTTTGCTGTCAGCGTTCGTATCGTTGCTGTGCAAATCCATGCAAAACTGATCATAGCAGTGAGGATTCTCCAAGCGGCGTCCCGTCAGATCACAGCATCCCTTTCTTTGCAGGTTGGGATCGGCCGCAATGCTCTGTGCTGGAAGTATTGCACTTGTCCCGGCCTGTGAAGAGCATGGGAAATTGTTCGGCTGCTTTTTAAGACTGCGTTTTTAGATTCTTGATCATTTTAATGTGCTTTTTTATTATTTATCTATGTTTAATCTTTGTATTTTATTGCATGTTGTTATTTATTTTTTTTCTCTCTGCTGTTGTAGCACTTTGGATTTAAAAAAAAAAAAAGCACATTAAACACAATGTTTTTAGTTTGATGCATGCTTTTTAAATGTCTATTTGCTTGTTTGGTCTCTTAAGTTGTCTCCTATGTGTTTGTGTATGACAAAAGGATGTAAAAGAAATAAATGTTTCCCGTATCTAGTAATTGTAGTTGTTTTTGATTTCAAATTATGCAGTTGATCTCTGCTTCTGATGTTGTGGACTTAAATCAGGGGTGTCCAAACTTGGTCCTGGAGGGCTGATATCCTGCAAAACTCCCAGTCAGACACACCTGGGCAAGCTTTAGTTCCAACCCTAATTAAACACACCTGATCAAACTAATTGAGTCCTTCAGGCTTGTTTGAAACCTACAGGTAAGTGTGTTGGAGCAGGGTTGAAACTAAACTGTGCAGGGCTTCGGCCCTCCAGGAATTGAGTTTGACACCGCTGTTTTAGGCCAAGGGTGTCCCAACTCTTTCATCATGGGCCATTGTTGTGCTGAGTTTAACTTTCTTCAACACACTTGCCTGGAAGTTAGTATACCTACAAAAAGCTTGATTAGCTGGTTCAGGTGTTTTAATTGGGGTTAGAACCTATTTGAAGGACACCAGTCCTCCAGGACTGAGTTTGGGCAGCCCTGTTCTAACATCCTTACAGGTGTGTTGAGGCAAGTTAGAGCTAAAGTCTGCTGGACATCGGCCCTCCAGGACTGAGTTTGGACACCGCTGACTTAAATGATCCTTAACTGTATAAGAAATGATGCATTTAGATGATCTTCACAATTATGTTGAGCTTGTTTGCTGAAATTTGTGTTTCTGATTTAAAGATATCAAATGGTAATTTATTTTTAGTTTTAACAAAGCAGAGATCAATCTCATAATTCAAGAAAATAAGCTGGAAACATTATTTTTCTTACTATGGGATGAAGATGAGGTGTTTTTTGTTGTCCAGATTAAATATACAATATGGGTTTATTTTTTTGCATGGTAATCTTTTGCAAAGTGATAAACTCAGGTGTGATGATTATTATGAATGTAAATTGTCACAATATGGTGTGAAAGTCCATTATTCAGTCTAAAATGTATTTCTATGATTGTGTTTGTAAAGTAAAACACTTTAAATCAGGGCTGTCCAAACTCTTACTATGCTTTCTTGAAACATCCATGCAGGTTTGTTGAGGCAATTTTGAGCTAAAATCTGCAGGACACCGATCCTACAGGACTGAGTTTGAACGTCCCTGACTTAAATAATCAAATCAAAATTCTGCAAAATTAAGTCCATGTATTGTATAAGAAATTAGAAAGATATTCACGATTATGTTGAGCTTGTCTTCTGGAATTTTTTAATTCTGACTTTACATCAAATGTTTACTTATTTTTAGTTAAAGCAGAGCTCAATCTCATAATTCAGGAGAATAAGCTGGACACACTGATACACTATTTTTCTTACTGGGTTAAAGATCAAATAAAATTTACAATATGGGTTATTTTTGCAAGTAAGAAGCAATAAAGTCAACTGTCTGATTATTATTATTATGAATGTAAATTGTCACAATATGGTGTGAAAGTCCAGTATTCAATGTAAAATGTATGCATTTCCATGATGGTGTGTATTTGTAAAGTAAAGCACTTTAAATCAGGGGTGTCCAAACTCTTACTAGGCTTTCTTGAAACATCCTTGCAGGTTTGTTGAGGCAATTCAGAGCTAAAATCTGCCGGACACCGGCCCTCCAGGACTGAGTTTGAACGTCCCTGACTTAAATAATCAAATCAAAATTCTGCAAAATTAAGTCCATGTATTGTATAAGAAATTAGAAAGATATTCACGATTATGTTGAGCTTGTCTTCTGGAATTTTTTAATTCTGACTTTACATCAAATGTTTACTTGTTTTTAGTTAAATCAAAGCTCAATCTCATAATTCAGGAGAATAAGCTGGATACACTATTTTTCTTACTGGGTTAAAGATCAAATAAAATTTACAATGTTTTTTTTTTTTTTGCAAGTATGAAGCAATAAAGTCAAATGTCTGATAATTATTATTAATGTAAATTGCCACAATATGGTGTGAAAGTCCAGTATTTAGTGTAAAATGTATGCATTTCCATGGTTGTGTGTATTTGTAAAGTAAAGCACTTTAAATCAGGGGTGTCTGAACTCTTACTAGGCTTTCTTGAAACATCCTTGCAGGTTTGTTGAGGCAATTTGAAGATAAAATTCAAGACACCGGCCCTTCCAGACAGAGTTTAGACACCCCTGACTTAAGTGAGCAAATCAAAATTCTGTAAAGTTAAGTCCATGAATTGTATAATAAATTAGAAAGATTTTCACGACTATGCTGAGCTTGTCTTCTGGAATTTGCCATTTATGTCGACATCAAATGTTTACTTATTTTTAGTTAAAGCAGAGCTCAATCTCATAATTCAGGAGAAGAAGCTGGAAACATTGAATTATTTTTCTCACTGGGTTAATGGTGAGGTGCTATGTGGTGTCCACATCACATTAAATTTACAATAGGGATTTATTGTTTGCATGTAGGAAAGTATCAAACTCAAGTGTCTGATTATGAAGAGCTAAATTGAGGGTGTCCAAACTCTTAGTAGGCTTTATAGAAACATCCTTCAGGTGTGTTGAAGCAAGTTGGAGCTAAAATCTGCAAACACCGGCCCTCGAGGACTCAAGGAGTTTGGACACCCCTGACTTGAATGAGCAAATCGAGTAAATTCTGCAAAGTTACATTCATGAATTGTATAAGAAATCATGCATTTAGAAAGATCTTCACTATTGCGTTGAGCTTGTTTTCTGTAGTTTGTGTTTCTGACATATATTTTTATTTTTAGTTATAACAAAGCAGAGATCAAACATTGTTAAATCATTTTTCATTCAGAGGCGCTTTTTGGTGTCCGCATTACATTCAAAATACAAAATAGATTTATTTTTTGATGATTATTATGACTGTTAATTGTCACAATATGGTGTGAAAGTCCCATTATTCAGTGTAAAATGTATGTATTTTCATGATTTTGTTTATTTGCAAAGTAAAACATGCTTATTTTTGAAGACTTAAATCAGGGGTGTCCAAACTCTTACTAGGCTTTTTAGAAACATCCATGCAGGTGTGTTGAGGCAATTTGGAGCTAAAATCTGCAGGACACCGGCCCTTCCAGACAGAGTTTGGACACCGCTGACTTAAATGATCCTTATTTTATAAGAAATTATGCATTTAGATGATCTTCACAATTATGTTGAGCTTGTTTGCTGAAATTTGTGTTTCTGACTTAAAAATATCAAGTGTTTATTTATTTTTAGTTATAACAAAGCAGAGATCAATCTCATAACTCAGGAGAATAAGCTGAAAACATTGATAAACCATTTTTTCTCACTGGGTTAATGATGAGGTGCTATTTGGTGTCCACATCACATTAAATTTACAATAGGGATTTATTTTTAGCATGTAGGAAGTATCAAACTCAAGTGTCTGATAATTATTATGAATGTAAATTGTAAATAAGTCTAATTTTAAATTGTATGTACTCTCGTGATTATGTGTATTTTTAAAGTGAAACATGCATATTTTTATTTTATTTTATTTTTAAATGGGGGTGTTCAAACTCTGACTAGGCTTGCTAGAAACATCCATCCATCCTTAGCTTCCAGGCAAGTTGGAGCTAAAATCTGCAGGACACCCCTCATTTAAGTCTTCAAAAATAAGCATGTTTTGCTTTACAAATACACACAATCATGAAAATACATGCATATTACACTGAATAATGGGACTTTTATCAATATTGTGACAATTTATATTCATAATAATCATCAGACATGAGTTTAATACTTCCTACATGTTAAAAACAAACCCATATTGTGTATTTAATGTGATTTGGACAACAAAAAGCACCTCATCTTTATCCCACAGTGAGAAAAATAGTTTATCAATGGTACCAGCTTCTCTTGAGTTATGAGATGGATCTCTGCTTTGTTAAAACTAAAAATAAATAAGCGCCTGGTATTTTTAAGTCAGAAATCAAACAAGCAGCAGAGAACAAGCTCAACATTATTGTAAAGATCTTAATGCACCATTTCTCAAACAGTTCATGAATTTAACTGCAGAATTTGTTTTGTAATTTAATGAGCAAAATTAATAAATTCTCTTAAGTTCATGAATTGTTTAAATATTATTTAAATTCATGCATTTAATGTCACTCCTCATACAATAACAAATGCCTGAGAGCAGTTTAGTTTATCCACAAGCAGCAGGACAAGAGGGTTCTGACTCTGTTGCTCCTCTAAGTACTGAACGTAATACAAGTGAAAAAATTATTCAAAGATGATTCCTTGGATTTACTAAATATTTTTACGTTAAGTGGCTGTAAAGAATTTAATTGTGTTGAATTTAAGCAAACAAATTAAGTTGAACATTACTCAATTGAATTTGTTCGTTTAAATTCAACACAAATAAATTGTTTGCAACAGTTCTGCATGCAACACTTTTTTCAGTATACGCATAGATTAAATATTGTTATAATAAAGATTAAAAAATTAAGTAATGGAATAAAGTGCAAATTAATTACCCAATAAATGTTGAAAATTACTCAACAAAGCACCAAATATTTTTAAATCAACCATTGGGTTAAATTAATAATTCAACGTTTTTTTTTTTTTTTTTTTGTGTGTGTGAATAATATTGTAACAGCTATATCTGCTATTGTTTATACTTAGTTTACCTAATTTTTTCTTGTAAGTTTTGAGTAAGAAACGTTTCTAAAAACCGATGACTGAAAATACCAAATCAGTTTCCTACTTATTTTTTTTTTTAGGTTGCTTACCTGCAATTTCCAATTGCTTTGATGCCTTGATAATGTCCAGCTTGTCTA